TTCAAGACTATAGTTAAAGTAAAATATTCGCTTTTTACAATAATTATAAAGATAAAAACAAAGCTTTCAAATCTATATATAAAGCAAAACATCTTTTACTTCCGTTTAATAACGATCACGATTTATTAATAAAAAAGCTTCGCGGCCGACTTCGGCGCGCTTTAATTGCAGCCTTTCTCTTACGAGCCTCTTTACGAAAACCACGCTCTTTACGATATTCATTATTAAAGCCTGGTCACTTTTACTTTACGCAGCGTACCTCTCGCAAATACTTTTATAAATCATCTTTTTTATTACGGCGTACTTTAAACAAACCACTTTTTTTACGCGATCTTGCAATTCGGCTTAACTCGCCCTCGCTTTTTCTATTACGATATACGCGTAAGCCTGCTCGAAGTAATAATATAAGTAGTTTTAACGAAGATACATATAATAGTTTTATGCGTAAGCTAACGCTAAATAATATAAGTAAGTCCTTTTAGCTAAGTTACTAAAATTACTAAAGTTATTAAAATTATTAATGTTATTAAGGTTTCGATTTTACGGCTTAGCGCGTTTAAGATTTAAGTTTCGGCGAAGATATATACGGTTTTATACGCGAGATTGCTTAAAGTAGCATAAGTAATAGTATAAGTAAGTTATTTTAGCCAAGTTATTAAAGTTACTAGAGTTATTAATATTATTAAGGTTTCGATTTTATAACTTAGCGCACTTAAGTTTTAAGTTTTATTAAAAGTTTATATAAAAGTATATATAATAGTTTTATGCGTAAGCTTACTCGAAGTAATAATATAGCTAAATTTAACGAAGATACATACGGTAGTTCTATGCGTAAGCTAGCGCTAAGTAGCATAAATAAGTCCTTTTAGCTAAGTTATTAAAGTTATTAAAGTTATTAAAGCTATTAATATTATTAAAGTTTCGATTTTACGGCTTAGCGCGTTTAAGATTCAAGTTTCGGCGAAGATATATACGGTTTTATACGTAAGCTTGCTTAAAGTAGCACAAGTAATAATATAAATAAGTACTTTTAGTTAAGTTATTAAAGTTATTATAATTATTAAAGTTATCGAGATTTCGATTCTACGGCTTAGCGCGTATAAGATTTAAGTTTTATTAAAAGTTCATATAGTTTTATACGTAAGCCGCCGTAAAATAGCATAAGTCAATCTTTTTAATTAAATTATTAAAGTTATTAATTTACTAAGGCTCACTTCTTCCGAATCGGCGTATTAGATTTGCAGTAGAGTCTGAAGCTTTTTAAAAAAGCTTAAGCGGTTTAAATATATTACTTAAGTTATTAAAGTTATTAAAGTTACTAAAGTTATTAAAGTTATTAGAGTTATTAAAGTTATTAATATTATTTAAGTTCTTTTAATCTACGATTTAAGCTTACCGTTTTAATCTTATACACTTTGCTATTATTTAATATACTTAATACGAATAATACGTCTTCTTTTAAAAAGGTTCTTAATACTTTACTACCGTCTTATTAACTATAACGAGATAATAATTAAAAAAAGGATTTTAAAGATAACAAACTCTTATTTCCGTCTTTATCTTTTTTAATAAAAAAGCGAAAAAATCGCTTAAGAAAGCTTGCTCTTCGTATCTTATTAAAATCGCAATTGCGTCGTAGCCGTCTTAAAAAACAAATTTTTAACTTATCTCTTTTACAATCGTTTAACGTCTTACGGAACTTTTCTTTTAACCGTTAAATGTTTTTTTTTAATTTCGGATCCGAATTAAAAGTTATCGGCTTTCGCTTAAACGACTTAAAGCAAAGTCGTAAGACACGTAAAGCTCGAAAGATCTAAGTTAATATCGAACGAAAAAACCGCTTATAACGAAAAGATAAACGAAAAACTATTAAAAAAGCTGCTTAAGCCGAGCAAAAACGCCGCCGAAACTTTTAATTTTAAAAGTTTATCTTTTTTTCGAACATATTATAACTATATATTATTTTAGCCGAATATAAGCCGGCGATTAATAAAAAAAAATAAAAAATGATTTAAGATTTTCACTCGATTATAAAAGCTATTTAAATAAACTTTTGCTTTCGTTATAATAAAAGATAATTCGAAATGCGACTTAAAAAAGTCCGTAGCGATATTATTTATTACGAGTATAACCGCTATAATAAATCTATTAAAAAGCCGGATCTCTTTAAACAGCTTTATTTTATAACAATTAATAATAACATAAATTTAAGTGAAGTATTAGATTACTTGCTAAAGCTTTCGGCATTAAAAAAAGCGTTAATTTTACCGTTATATATTAATATATCGCTTTAGCGCTACCGCGGCTATTAATATAAGTATTCGAGCTACGTAATAACCTTTGCTTTTAATAACGCTAAGTTCTTTAAAAACCTTTTTTTTTCTTTAAAAAGATCAACGTAATTATTCTTAAGCTTAAGAGTTTTAATAAAAACCTTCGGATCAATAAGCAGTTTAAAAAAAAATGCTAAGTTCGGCGCTTTACGATTTATATCTAGTTTACTTTTTTAAAAGCAAATAATCTTAAGTATATTAATATTAATATAAACTAAGACTTAATAGATTCTCTGCTTGTAAATAAAGATATAAAAAAGCGGGTTACAATTATTAAAAACGAAATACTTAAACAACCTTTATTAAAGACAGCGGCTTTAGCTATAAAGTCATCGGCATAAAAACGCCGCCGCTTGCGCCGAAAAGCTCGCGATAATCTTAAAGAAAATTCGAGCGAAGATAAAGCTCTTGCAAACGATAAGAATGCTTTATTTAATATAAAAAATCACTTAAATCTTAACGATAATTTACTTAATAATTAAAAGCGTCTTCTTTTAAAGATCACCGTTCTCGATTTAAATTTAAATACTACGGAATCTAATCAGCTCTTTGCTTAAGTTAATAAACTCGCATCGAAGCAATATGTTTTTACTTTTGCTTTAAGCTAACGATTTACTTTAATTTTTAAGCTAAAACTTAATCAAAAGCTTTTTAATTTAGCTTTTCTTATACTTTTTTTTATCGGCGCAAGCGATTTCTATACTTAACGATTCCGAAAAGTTAATATAAAAGATTATATTAAACACTTAATAAAGTACCGCGATAAGCGTTTTACGATTTACTTTCGTTTTCGGTTTTACTTTTTTAATATTTTAATACGCTTTAAAGTCGCAAAAGTATTCTTTTACTTTATCAAGTCTCGAAAAGATATTAAAAACTTAAGTATTAATAGTTTGCGAGACCAATTAAAAAAGCAGCTAGCTTTCTTTAATCAGATCGTGCGCTATAAGTAAGCTATCGATAGCACTCGTCTTTTTTAAAAAAAGCAAAGCTATTAGCTAAAAGTATTAGCCAAGTCCTAGCTAAACGCTATAGCAGCTTTTCTTATATAAAGTATTGCGAACATATAATAAAAAGACTTTTAACGCTATCTTTTTTAATATAATAAATACAAAGCCGCTAATTAAGCTAAGCGAGCTAAGATAATATAAGTTAATGTTTAAGAGAACCCGGCTATTATTATTTATTATATCTATATCCGTTAACAAGCTTTTTTACAAAATATCTTAAGTTATTATTTGCCGTATACTAATTTTTAAGTACGATAAGAATAGCAAAACCGTAACTCGAGTTATATTTACGGTATATTTTAATTAAAAAGCAAACCGAACGATGCGGACGAAGTTAAACTTAATATAAACTTTAAGAAAAACGATTATTTTCGTATTTTAAACTTCGTTAGCTTTTAAAAAGATTATATCACCGTATATAACTTTGATGCTATTCGTTTATTAAATTTGCAAAACTCGATTTTTTTACTTTTTAGTATAATTAAGAATACCGTCGATTAACTTATTACGTTAATTAATCGGATGCAGATTTATCGCGTTTGCTTAACTAAATATTATTTACGTAAAAACAAAAATATAAAAGTCTTTTTTTATAGATTTTATTATAAGCGCTTTATGCAGCTTATAGTTAATTATAATCGAAAAATCAATCTTCGCAAGTATTAATTCGCTGCTTAGCGCAATCATCTTTTGCAAAACCCTTTTTCACTTGTTTTTATATTAAACTAATTAACTAATACGGATATACAACTTGTGTCTAGCCTTAAAAGTCTTTTAAAGTACGCTTTTAAGTATTGCTTTAAGCATAAGAAAGAATCGGACTCTTATAAAGACATTATTAATATAATTTTAAAACACATTAATACTAAAGCTCCGGCGTTATTTTTAATATTTAAAATGCTTAACAAATTGCTAAAAGAAAAAGATTATAGCGCTTAAGAAGTATATCACTTGCTCTTTAAAATCAATTTGACTAAATCCATTCGGAACTTTATTAATTTAAGTTGCCGATTAAATAAAGACAAGAAGTATTAAGTAAAATTAAATAAGTATAGATTAAAACTTAAACTTTTTAACTTTTAGCGGTACCGATAACGCTTCGAGTGTGACAGCCTGCCTCGTTACCTGCAGTCAGCTGATCACCCATTCAGGCCTAGCGCCTGTGGCCATGTATATAGACCTTCTTGAGCTCTCTTGAGCTTCCTGTTTTCTTCTCTTCACTTTGTATTCTAAGGTCAGAATTCATCAGTTCGTCACATTATACAAAGTCCTTCGATTAGGTCGTCGTATTACAGCTTATTATTATTGCTTATTGTTACAGATTACGGCTTATTGATTATTGTCAAGAACGGAGTGAGTTACTTGTTGGGTGCTCTACGGTCTTCATTTATTGCTTACAGATTATTGTCTTTTTTACGACCTCACCTCTTCCTCAGCTCTTCCGACTTAAAAGAGCTCTCCTCTTT